TCCCTGCCTGTGTCAACTGTTCCCATGGCTTTCGGACCTTCCCAGCCCCTGGCTGCAGGCAAAGGTGGGGGGCTCCCTGCCTGCCCTCCCCTGCCCTCTCCAGCCTTGTCTCTGCGGTGGCCTTGGCCACCAGCCCGGTCCAAGGCACCTGCTTCCTTTCACCTTGGCTTTTCTAAAATCTACAGGTCTCTTGCATTTCAGGGCCAGCTTCGGGTGTCTGATGGACACCTTTCCTTGACCTTGGGCTTCTCCTCTAGTGCTCTTTGCTTTACAAATGGCCCTGGCATCCTTCCCACCTGCCCAGGCCATCCTGTCCTCCTCGAAGGAGACCTAAGGTCCCCAGCTCTGCTCCCATGCTGGCTCTGCTCTGCTCTCTGCCAGGTCTGCAGGGAAATGTCCCTGCATGTCACGCTGTGCCCGGAGCTGCTCCCCAGCACTGCATCCCCAGGGACACCATCTCCTCGGTGGCTGGGTTGACTTACGGTCCGGAGGTGACGATGACACTGCGCACCCGGTCGAAGCCGCGGTCCCCCAGGTTCAGGCACTCGGTGGTGAACTCCATCTGCCTGCCCTGGAAGTTCTCCTGGTCGAAGACAATGATCTGGGGGCAGAGGGAAAGGGTCAGACGGGGACAGGCACGCTCGGGGAGGGCAGTGGGGTGCTCCATGTCCCCGCACACACAAGCCCACAGCCCCACACGTCCTCCTCAGCTCTCCAAGGCTCCCTGCAGCTTTTCGGATCTGCTGCCTGGGCAAGCTGAGCAGGGCTCTGTGCATGAGCCCCATCCCCACGTGGGCTGAGCACGGGACGGTCCCCTCCTGATGGCCATCCCTGCTCTGAGATGGCTTCATCCTGCCTCCAGTTTTGCTGCTGCAAAGCCATGTCTCCCTGTGCCAGGGCCCACATCGGGCTCCAACTGAGCTGGGAAGGAGCTGCTTTTCCAGGAGCTGCATCTGTGCCATGGCCCTTGGTGCCTGGCATGTGAGGAACTGTCACCAGGGCCCTCACATCGCTCACCCCTTGTCCCTAGCCCCTCGGTGGTATGCTGCCCTGGTGTCACCGTGGCATTTCAGTGCTGGTCCTGTCACCCCCAGCCTCCTCCTCCATCCCCCAGCAGCACCACAGGATCCCCACATGCAGAAGGAGCCAGCCCTGATGCCGTGACCCAGGGGAAGAGTTTCAAAGCCCGTGGTCCCCAACAAGCTGTCCCAGCCAAGGGGCACCCAGAGCATTCCTCCTCCAGCATCCCTGCAAGAGGCTGCCCAAATCCTCCCCTAGAGAGCTGCTGCCCAGGAGAGACAGAGCAGGGCATCATCTGGGCCCTCCTGCTCTTGGAGGAGGGTCCTTCCCCCTGGGACGCCTGCCATCTCCTCCTGCCAACTGCCCCAGAGATGCTGCCACTGTCCCTCAGCCCCAGTCCATGTCCCTGCTCGTGGGGAGCAGCAGGGCTTACCCTGAAGGCTTCTGTGGAGGGCTCCTCACCCTTGCTGTTTGCAACGGGAGCAGGGTCAAGGGATGGAGTTGGCGCTGGGGCTGCCTTCTCCTTCTCCTCCATAGCCTGGCCGGGAGCAGCGAGTTTCGTGGTCTCAGACATCGTGGTGTTGGGCTCAAGTCTGGGACAGGACACCAGGCAGAGATGCCAGCAGCAGATTAGAGGGGTGGCACGGAGGTGGGCACCCACCCCAGCCCTCCCCCTGCCCTGGGGGTGGTCACGTTGGGATGGGGAGGCTCATCAACGGGGTGGGCATCTGGAGAGGAGCTGCTGGGAGCTTCTCCAGGGAGGCACAGGCAGTGGGGTCCTGCCTTCACCAGGAGGTCCCAGGTGTCCACACTGTCCTTCTGTGGTCAGAAGAGCCCTGAGCATGGTCCCACCACTGCAGGGGTGCCCCGGTGTTGCTCAGGGCTCTCTCAGTCACTCCCTGCTCTCCCCAGCCAGGCTGGGACCAGACACTGCACCGGGTGCTGGGGATGTCCCCCACGAGATGTACCTGAGATCCCAGGTGGGGACCAGTTGGGGGTGGGAAGGGGCCAGCCCCAGTTTGCTGAGGCCCTCCAGCAGGCACCCTGCTGGTGGCCCCACAGAGGAGTGTCACCGGTGGCTGCCGGGGGAGCGGAGGGCGGTGGGATGCTGAGCACTGGGATGCTCCCAGACGTGATGACCACAGCGGTGGCCACAGCTGAGACCCTGCCTTTCCCTCTCCCCCCCCTCGGGTCCATCTGCAGCCCGGTGCCCGGGGACTTTGTCTTCTTACCTGGGCAGCTGCTGCTTCTTGTTGGAGTTGAGCGGGCTTGTGTTTCGGGGCGCAGCGAGGCCCCCGCTTTATAGCCTGGCAAGGGCAGACCCCCGGGCGGGCACACAAAGGAACTGCCAGCTCATCAGTGTCTGCGCGGCCGCCCAGTCATCACATCCTGCAAAGCTCTGGGCGAGCTGGAAGCCTCTCTCCCCAGCCCCGTGCCCAGCCGCTGAACCCAGCACTTTCCTTTGTGCCCGCGGCACAACAGAAGACCTGACCGTGCCACTTTGCAGCGTGCGGCGGCACCCTCTGCCCCCCGTGCGGCCACCCCGACAGGGCATATATAGCCCTCGTGCCACCCCGGACGGTGCCAGCACGTCCTTACCCACCGCCCCCACTGCCTGGACCAGTATGGGCACCCAGCTCTGGTGCCACCACGTCCTTACCCACCGCCCCCGCTGCCTGGACCAGCATGGGCACCCAACTCCGGTGCCACCACAGCCAGGGAGGGTACACCAGTCCCGTGCCCCACGGCTCCATCGTGCCCAGCCCTTGGTGCCCAGCCCCAGTGCTGTGCTCTGCTCATTTCTCCCCTCTGAATGCTAAATCTCTCACTTTAAACATCACTCTATACCTGAAAATGCCCGAGTGTGCTGCCCGGAAGATGCCAAGATGCCAGGCTTAAGTGTTTTGAAATTCTTCAAGAGTTGGGGTGGGTTTTTTCCAAATGTTGTGTAACCGAAGCTGACACTTTCCAAAACATCGTCCTTACCCACCGCCCCCACTGCCTGGACCAGTATGGGCACCCAGCTCTGGTGCCACCACAGCCAGGGAGGGTACACCAGTCCCCATGGCTCCATCATGCCCAGCCCTTGGTGCCCAGCCCCAGCGCTGTGCTCTGCTCATTTCTCCCCTCTGAATGCTAAATCTCGTGCTTCAAACATCACTCCGTACCTGAAAACGCCTGAGTGTGCTGCCCTGAAGATGCCAGGATGCCAGGCTTAAGTGTTTTGAAGTGCTTCAAGAGTTGGGGTGGTTTTTTTCCAAATGTTGTGTAACCGAAGCCGACACTTTCCAAAACATCCGTCCAGTACCTAAAGGGGCTCCAGGAAAGGTGGGGAGGGGCTTGTTGAGAGGCAGTGGAGTGTCAGGACAAGAGGGAATTGTTTTAAACGAAAAGAGAGGAAATTTAGATGAGATCTCAGGAAGAACTTGTTTGGTGTGAGGGTGGTGAGAGCCTGGCCCAGGTTGCCCAGAGAAGCTGTGGCTGCCCCATCCCTGGAGGGGTTCAAGGCCAGGTTGGAGGGGGCTTGGAGCAACCTGGGCTGGTGGGAGGTGTCCCTGCCCAGGGCAGGGGGTGGCACTGGGTGGGCTTTAAGGTCCCTTCCAATCCAAACCATTCTGTGATTCTATGATTTCAATCCCTGAAAATGGTGCTCTCTTTTGAGGATGTCCCTGCTCCCTGCGTCCACTGGCACAGATGTTAAGCTGTTTTTTACCCCATTTCACCTCTGCTGTGCTCATTCTCTGCCATCCCTAGCTTTTCCATCACGGTACCAAATCCCACGTGGGGGGTTTATTGCATCAGTGCTGTCCCTGACCGACAGCAGGCAGAGGGGCTGTGGACACGCTGGGGTCAGCCCATGGATCTGCATTTCCCACACCCCACGGCCACACTCCACACCAGGGGACACAGGGGGGACCTTCCCCTGACTCCCACGGAGCCTTCTACCCTCTTCTCTCCCTGTTTCCCTGCTGTGATCCTGTTCATTGTGGATACACCTACACACTTATTTCATAGAATCATAGAATCATAGAGTTGCCCAGGCCGGAAGGGACCTCCAAAGGCCATCTAGTCCGACCCCCCCGCAGTCAGCAGGGACACCCCCAACTAGACCAGGTTGCCCAGGGCCTCGTCGAGCCTCACCTTGAATATCTCCAGGGATGGGGCCTCAACCACCTCCCTGGGCAACCTGTTCCAGTGCTCCACCACCCTCACAGTGAAGAACCCTCTCCTCATCTCCAGTCTAAATCTGTTCCCCTCCAGCTTGAAGCCATTGCCCCTCGTCCTGTCACTGCAGGCCTTTCTAAACAGGCTCTCCCCAGCCTTCCTGTAGGCTCCCTTCAGGTACTGGAAGGCTGCTATTAGGTCTCCCCGGAGCCTCCTCTTCTCCAGGCTGAACAACCCCAGCTCCCTCAGCCTGTCCTTGTAGCAGAGGTGCTCCATCCCCCTGATCATCCTTGTGGCCCTCCTCTGGACCCTCTCCATCAGGTCCATGTCCTTCTTATATTGAGGGCTCCAGACCTGCACACAATCCTCCAGGTGAGGTCTCACCAGAGCAGAGCAAAGTGGAAGAATTACCTCTCTGGACCTGCTGTTTTCTCCCAGTCTTTCCAGTACTCCCAGCCTCCTGCAGCACCCAGCACCGGGGCTGGCTCTTCATCCCTGGCAGCAGTAAATCACCCAAGGCTGCACCTTCAGAAAGCCCAGAGCCCCTCAGTTTCACTGGCTTCTTTCCTTCCCCTCCCATGTGAACTGGCAGCAGCGGGATCCGGCTGCACCCTCTGGGCTGTTGCCCAAAATCCCAAACAAAAAGCATTTATTGATTCCTTCTTCTTTTCTTGCAGTTTTAGGGCAGGCTGCGGGGCGCCTGCAGGCACGGGTGCTGCTGCCCCATTTCCCCTGGGTGCTCCCCCCAAGTCTGGTCTCTCACCTTGACACTGGGCAGCTTTTATGGCTCTCAATTTGCATTCATTTTCATGTCTGTGAGGCGGATTTCTATTCTAAGCTGCATTCTCTTCCTCTCAGAGCCAGGGTGGGTTTTTTAATTGCTAATTTAATTTTTAATCTGTTAATCAGCAGTTGTCACCCCCCCTGCTCCAGCCTCTGCTTTCCCTCCCAATTCCCAGCATCTTAGGACTTGGGCACTGGAAAACTGGGCTTGGAGGGACCGATGGCTGCTCCCCATTGCTTTGCCCCTTATTCCAAGGACTTGGCAACCCAGGGATTGTCCCTGAGTCGATGCTGTGGAAGGGCTGACAGCAGGGATCTGTTCTCAGTGGTTCTTGAGCCTCCCCCGGACACAAAATCTCTGCCTTCCCCACTGAGCATCCCCTCACAGGCGCTTTGGAAAGCCCCACGCTGCATTGCCCTGTCCTCCACTGTCCCCTCATGGCACCGTCCCGCCCTGGCACGGAGGGACACGTGTGATGCTGAGCTCAAACACAGCCCAGAGCTGCCCAAGCCTCTCCCCCAGCACAGATGGCTGGAGCCGCCCCAGCTCTGCCCTGGCAGGCACAGGAACGGGCACAAACCCAGGGCGAGGGGTTTGTTCTGCCCTGGTGAGCTGCACGAGGAGCTCCTGCTGCCGTGTCCCCTGCCCGGCGCTGCGTGGCACCGTGGGTGCACCCAGACACAGCCCAGGCTCTGCACAACCACGTCCTGGTGCTGGGACACGAGCTGTGGTCACCACACCGGTGGCCAGTAGCACATTGAGTTTAGCTCAAGCCACAGTGAGAGGCAAAATTTGTGCCAAACACATTTGCCAGGGACTGCAGATGCCAGGGACAGCCCCCCCGCAGCCAGGAGCATCCCCTTTGGATATGAACCCCCTCCCTTCTCTGCCTCCCCAGCGGTGCCCGGGGCTACACCAAGGAGGATGCTCCAACTCAGCCACCTGGTGTTTTCTGGGCAAATACTGGCCCAAAAGGCAGCGCTACCTGGAAATTTGGATTTTGTCACCCAGCCCAACAGCCTCCTCCTTTGCCTGCTGCCCCCCCTGCTCCCCGCTCCGACGGGCAGGCTGTGAGGTGCAAGGTGCCCAGCCCTCGGAGCCCTGCGCTCTCCCAGCACCACCCCAGGGATGATTTGGTAAGGGGGGGCACTGTGAGCAAAGCCTGAAGGTATTTAGATACCAAAATGTGGCTGCACTGGGTTCTTTCCAGGCCCCTGAGCACAGAAGTGGCTGCAGCCCTCTCTACATCTTCATCTGCGTCATTAGTCCCCCCAGTGCCTTTGCAAACCCACTCCCAGTGCTTTCCAGTGCCCCCAGTGCCCGCTTTTACGATGCTCCATGGTTGCTTCGTGCTCAACCTGCGAAAAACCTGCCCTGACAGACCCCAGGGATGATGCCCCAGCTCTGGAGCTGTGGTGCCAGGGGGTCAGAGCCTGTGCCCGGTGGGTCCAGGGGAGCGGGAGCTGCGACGTCCCGGCTCATCAGCTTCTGTGCAGCGTGGCCTTTGTTCTGCCCGGTCCCTCCTCCCTGCCATGTGCTGAGTTAGGGCTTTCAGTAATGCTCTCCTGGGCTCTGTCTCTATCTGGAGGCTATAAAAACCCAGCCAGAGGGCTGCTGGACATGTCACCTCCCCGGGCACCAGCGCCTCACCCCAGGTAAGCGCCGGAGCCTGGGGGCAGCTGCCCCCTGCCCCACCATGGCTGGGTCCTGGGAGTGGGGCTGCCTTGGGGACACGTGGAGGAGAATCTGAGGCTGCTGGCATAGCATGGCATGGCATGGCATGGCATGGCTGCAGGGTTCTGCAGCCAGGGAATGAGCCGAGGGCATCTTCCCGGGATGGGCTGTGCCACTGATATGCCATCACATGCTGGGGAGTGGTGGCAGGGAGATGAGGGGGCATCCCTGCAGAGGGACTTTGGCTCAGGGGTCTGCCTGTGGGAGGAAGAGGCCAGCTGGGCATGCCAGGATGGCTGCCAGGGCCACGGCTGCCCTGCCAGGCACCCGCTGTTCCTCCTCGTGGTTTGGATGGCAGCCCTGGGTGGGCTGGGACAGCCCTGCTCCCTGCTCTGCGCCTGCTCCGGCGTGGAGCCACCCCATCGCTGCCTCCCACGCTGCTGGGGAAGGGACACGGGCAGAGGCTGGGCTCCTGCCTCCATCTCCTGCTCTGCCCAGGTACCCCGTGGCCTGAAGCCCAGTCCCGGGATGTGGGAGCCCCAGGGAAGGGGTCAAGTCCCCAGCAAAGTCCTTGGTGGGTCTGGCCAGGGTCCAGCAGCCAGACTTGTGGAGAGCAGTGATTCACCAGCCCCAGGGCAGGTTTTAATGGTCCTTTTCCCCTGTGTCCTGGCAGAGCCACCATGACCCACCGCTGCAGGAGATCCTCCAGCCTCTGGAAGGTACAGGAGCTTGGGAAGGAGCAATGACACAGCTTGAGCCCCATGAACATCTGGCCATGGGGGTGCAGTGTCTGCTTGGGGCTTCCGAACCCTCGGAGCCCCCTGACCTGCTGCGTCCTCCCCAGATCGTGGTGTGGGATGAAGCTTTCTTCCAGGGCAAGAAGCACGAGTTCACCACCGACTGCTACAGCACCCCGGAGCACGGCTTCAGCACCGTCCGCTCCTGCAAGATCGAGAGCGGGGCGTGAGTGGGGGGGTCACAGGGGGCTTGCCACCCCACAGTGCTGTGGGACCCCAACGGATGGAGGGGGGTTGGAGGATGGAGGTCTCCGGTACCTTTTGCCTCCTGAGCCGTGGGGCTGCCTCCTTTGGGGAACAACCTCCTCCCCGTGGAGGCTCAGCGGGCTCTGCCCCAGGTGTTAGCGGGGTGGTGGGTGCCGTGGGGGTCTCACCCCCCCCCTCCCGCCCCCGGCAGGTGGGCAGGCTTCGAGCACTGTGGCTTCCAGGGGCAGCAGTTTGTGCTGGAGCGTGGCGAGTACCCGTGCTGGGAGGCGTGGAGCGGCAGCAACGCCTACCACGTGGAGAGGATGTGCTCCTTCCGCCCCATCGCCTGCGCCGTGAGTGACCCCCCCTGCCCCAGCTCCCCACCGTGGGGCTGGCCACCAGAACCCACCACTGGGCTAGTCCCCAGAGCCCACAACCAGTGGCCGGGGGGGCTGGACAGGACAGCCATGCCAATGCCGTGCCCCTCTCGGTGGCAGGACCACGGGCGCAGCAGGTTGATGCTCTTCGAGCAGGAGAACTTCCAGGGCAAACGGGTGGAACTGAGCGACGACTGCCCCTCACTGCCTGCCCTGGGCTGGGGCAGCAACGCTGTGGGCTCCTTCCTGGTCCACTCTGGCGCGTGAGTAGCCCCGGGGGCTTGCACCCTGCCAGGACCCAGCACCGGAGCCGAGGATGCTCTGGCAGCTGCCGGCACCCTGCCCGCTGCCCACCGCCCGCGGCGCAGGGTGCTCGGTGCTGCTGCCAGCCCCCATCCCATGCCACTCTCTGCTCTGTCACAGGTGGGTCTGCTCCCAGTACCCGGGGTACCGGGGCTTCCAGTACCTCCTGGAGAGCGACAGCCACGCGGGCGAGTACAAGCACGTGCGGGAGTGGGGCTCCCATGCCCAGACGGGCCAGGTCCAGTCCATCCGCAGGGTCCAGCAGTGACCACCAGCACCGGAGCCACCCTGCCACCAGCTGTGTGCCCTGGCAACCATCTCTCCTGTGGGACAAAGCTCAATAAATGCTCAGTTGTCCAAGGTGGCACGCTGGCAGTTGGGGAGGGGGTGCCCCGGGGGTGCGTGGCCGGGAGCGATGCCACGCTTGAGGGTAAAGATGGGGCTCTGCAGGAGCAAGGATGGTGTGGAGGGGAATGCCCACCCTTTTCTGCCCCTGCAGCCAGCGCAGGCGTCCACATGTCCCTGTCACAGGCAGGTGAAGCCCCTGCCCTGCTCATATATGGAGCTGTAAAGTAGTGCGATGCCCTGCCCTTGCCCCCCTGCCAGCCCCCTGAGGAGCTGTGGGGCCAGGGCACAGCAGTCAGACCCAGTGCCCAGAGATGGGCACTGCACATCCCATGTCTGTCCTGTCCTGTTGGCTCAGGGTCTCTGCAGGACCCCCGCATCCCCACAGGATGCCACATACCCTCAGACCCCCTCTGTTCTGCTGGTACCTGCTGGGGGCTGAGCTGCAGCTCCAGCAAGGCTGAGGAGGACACCGTGCGGCCGCTGCTGAGCCTCAGCCTTGCTCCAGAGCTGGAAGGAGCTGCAGGATGCAGCAAGCTGCAGCTGCATGCTCTGCATCCATCCCTGCACCCCTGCATCCATCCCTGCACCCACGCACACCCTGGTACCCACACACACACCCGTGCACCCACACCAGCTTGAGGCACCTCCCATGCCCAGAGCAGAGCAGGTAGCCCAGGGCAGATCAGGTAGCCCAGGGCAGAGCAGGTAGCCCAGCACGAAGCAGGTAGCCCAGGACAGATCAGGTAGCCCAGGGCAGATCAGGTAGCCCAGCACGAAGCAGGTAGCCCAGGGCAGATCAGGTAGCCCAGGGCAGAGCAGGTAGCCCAGCACAAAGCAGGTAGCCCAGGGCAGAGACAGACAAGCCCCTCTGCCCTCAGTGGTGCAGAGGACCACGCCAAGCCTTTTGCTGGCCCTGGAGCAAGGAGGTGACAACCAGAGGCTGGTGGCTCCATGTGTGCCCCGGCAGCACGGTGGGCACAGGCAGCACTTGCTCCCCTCCAAGCATGGCCCTGGGCTGTCACTGCAGGACATTGTCAGCTGCTGCTAAACCATCTTCTTCAGCTCATGAGAAAGCAGGGGTTAAATGAAGTTCAAAACGTGGCAGGGAAAGGCTGGTTTGGAAAAAATTCTCATTTCAGAAGAGCTCTGGAGAAAAGGTTTGACACGATGAAAATACCCCGCTCCTGACATTTGCAGCAGAAGGACCACCACTGGAGACAATGCTGCCCAGGAAGGGATTCTCTCCGCAGGAAATCACAATTCAAAGTTCAGAATAGAAGAAACAAAAGGTTTGGGGATGGGCTGAGTGAAACCCTCCTGCCGCCCCAGGGCAAACCAGTCTGGGGCCACCAGTCAGTGAGACCTGGAGGAGAGGAGCTTCCTGCCCCCCTCCATGGCCACATCTGGTGGGGAGCCCCATCCCGGCCAGCCCACCCTGCCCCTGCCCGGCCCCACAACCCCGGGGTGATGCAAGGGACTGGGAATGGGGCCAGCACACAGGCAGGCACGGCAGGCAGCTGGCAGCGGGACCTGTGGGTCCCCAGGGAGCTGGTGGGGACCTGGAGAACAATGCAAGAGCCCAGCAGCTGCAAAGGGACCACCCCAGCTCTCTGCCCCCTGGGATGGGGGTCTGCCCAGCTGGGCACGACATGGCAGGGCTGTGGCACTCCCTACCCCCCATGTGTGCTGGCACCACAGCCACCGATGTGTCCCCAGGCTGGGCTGTCCTCTCTGCCACCCCTTCCTCCCTTATGGATTGGGATGGATCCTGCACACCATGTCCCCAAGTGCTTTGCTCTGCCCCGTGGAGTGATGCTCCCCCCGGGATGCGGCTGGTCCTGCGGGCATCGCTCCCGGGAGGCTGCTGCTCCATCCGCTCCCTCTCCAATAAAAAATTAAAAATTACACCCCCTCCCTTTATATTCTTATTCCCTGGTTATCAATAACCCCCCCACGAACCCAATGGCAGGAGACACCATCTTTTCTTGGGGGGTACCAGGCTGGGGGCAGCCTGGGCCCCGCTCTCTTTGTTAGGGGCAGGAGCAGCAGCGCATCCGCAGCATCTTCCAAACCACAGACCCGGCCCAGGGGGGGTGATGCCCGGTCTGGATGGTGGTACCCGGGCAGCCTGGCTACCGTCGGGCACCCTCTGCAGCCCCCCTACCAAAATTAAGATTAACTGATGCACCGCTTGTCTGTATCTTTTTTTCAGAAACCTCATCAAGAATAGGGCTCGAGACAGGTAAATGGATTCTTGCCCGGTTTTCAATGCTCCTGGGAAGGAAATGTAGCCAAAAATGCTGGTTTACTTCTTTGTCTTGAAACCACCATTTTCTCCTAAGCCTGGTGATCTTAGGTAGGGGGTTAGAGAAGGGGCTGGGCCCGACATCCCCCCTCCCCAGGGTGCTTCAGCACAGCCCTTCTCCCTGCAAAGAGTTAACCTGACAGATGCTACCGGGCTCCTTTTGGGGAGCCATTTTCTCTCCCCCATTGTCTCACCGCCTTTTGTGTGTGTGTGTGTGTGAGACTGGATCCTCCCCTGGGGAGCCAGGAGCAGCCCAGCCTGAAAATCAGATTTTCAGCCGCTTCTGGGTTTGCAGGGAGCCTTTGTGTGTCCCACCACCACCACCACCACCACCACCACCACCTTCTCCCAGGGCTGCCCAGCCCTTAA